GCAAGAAAGTTCTAACAAGTAGTTACAGCCTAAGGGTTGTGAAAAATAGCGTATTACCTCCTCACCAGTGACTCCTGTCGCTGAGGTATGACGGCTGGAAGGAAGGCAGGATTGAAAAGAAGGACCGAGAGACTTGCACCTGTGTCTAGCAACAGGCTGTTTTCTTGTTCCTCCATAGTCATGATTACGGGGGCTCCTCCATGGAGATGACAGTCTGGCTAGAGGGAGAAGGCAGAGTATGCCCCGGGCCCCCTCATTCCTGTTAGACTAACTGGTAGGAAGAGTCTGAGCTCTCGGGCCTCTGCTTCAGAGGGCAGACCCATCTCCAGTGGTCACCTTTGCATTCAGGGCATGGCCCAGGGGGCCTGTTAGGGTAGTTCCTCTTGAGGTGGCCTGGCTTTTAACAGTGGTAGCAGATGAATGCAGTCATCGAATTCTTCTTGGGGCCCCGGGAATCAGACTTGGAGTCTGTTTCTCTTAGTGCTGCAGCAAAAGCAGCTGCTTTTTCTTGGTCTCTTTGTTTTCTCTAGTATGGAGATTTTTCAAAGAACTGAAATTAGAAATTCCATGTGATCCAGCTACTCCCCCCATCCCTCCCCAGGTATCTTCCCCAAAGAGCTTAAGACATCATACTACATACCAGTGTTCATAGCGGTACAACATTTTTTTTGTCTTTTTGAGACAGGGTGTCACTGTGCAGTTCAGGCTGGCCTTGAGCTCACTTATGTAGCCTAGGCTGGTCTCAAATGTGCCACCATCAATTGTCCTGCCTCAGCCTCCCAAATGCTGGGACTATAGGTGTGCGCCACCATACCCAGCATATAATGGTACAACTCTTAATAGCTAAATCCAGGAAACAGCCTGCAGACCCATCAACAGACAACTGGATAAACAAAATGTGGTATCAGTATAAAATGGAGGGCTGGGGATATAGCTCAGTGGCACAAGTGCCTGCCTGACAAAACCAAAGTCCTGAGTTTGATCCTTGGTACCAAAAATAAAATAAAATAAAATAAAATAAAATAAAATAAAATGGAATACTAGGGGCCAGGGATATAGCTCAGAGGTACAGCATTTACCTGGCAAGCACAAAGTCCTGAGTTTGAGTCTCAGTGCCCCCCCAAAAGTGGAGTACTACTTAGTATATATAAAGAACAAACTTGAGACATTTGTAGGAAACTAAATGCAACTGGAAAATAGAATGCTGAGTGAGACGAACCAGACACACAAGCTTAAATACAGCATTGTATCTCTCCTTTGAGTGAAGCACAGCACAAATAAGGAGAATTATAAAGGATGGATAGATGGGGACAAGGGGGCGGGTCTCTTGCAGTAGGGAAGTGGGACAGAGGAGCAAGGAGGAGGGGAAGGGGAAATAAGGAGAATAAAGATCTGCCATGTACAGGATCCCCATAACCTCAGTGAGTGCAGACGTTCTATGCCATGACACGACGGACAGTGTCAACAAGCACGCAAATGAGGGTGGGAGAATTAGAGGCGGGAGGAAGCGGGAGCGGGCTAGAGGGCACCGCGCTCACCTGGCCCGAGGACTTTGCCCAGACTCCCCCTCTGCTCTGGTCACTCTTCCCAAAGCTCTTCCCCATGACCCCTTCTGTCTCAGCATGGACATCGCCATTTAGACACACTCAGACACGCTCAGACACACTCAGACACGCTCAGACACACTTGTTCTGGTTCCTTGACTTCAAATATGTCACCCATCACTCTAGTCAATCGTGTCGTTTTAACTTTATGGTTCTAACTGCTTCTGTGCGCCCCTCCCGGGCCACCCCTGGTGCACCACGGGGCCGTCTTGGAGGGACTCTGCCCAGCGCGCTTGCTGCCGTCCCTGCAACCTGGGCCCCGGCCCTCCCACCGGGGGTAAATGACTTCAGTAAACAGCTCAGCGCAGCTCTGGTTCTGGGGCCTGGTGGCAAAGAGCCGGGCGCTGTCCAGGCTGAGAGGAACGGCCGCAGCCTTCGACCCACCGACAGAGGCCGCGGGCGCTGTCCCCGCCGCTGGCACCGGTGCCAACCAGGAATCCCCGGAGATAACCGCTCTGCCCTCGCACATCTGCTCGGCCTCTAGGAACTCCCTGGGGGCCCGGCCCCCGCTCCCGTAAGTCACTTGTTCCTTGGCGGTGTCACCTGTCCGCTCTGGGCTTCGAAATTTCCTCTACTGAAACCCATCAGCTCTTTCCAAGGAAGAAACGGCCAAGCAGCGCGCCTTCCTGTGCGGCGTGGTGCGCGCCCTGCGTCAGGTGTCTGCCCCTTTGAGGGTAACCTCAGCGTTTCCTCCCGCCCCGCTTTCACTCAGCCGTGGGGCAGAGTTCTGAAAGTGATTTCTGGAGAAAAGCTGAGCAATGGCTTTGCCAGGGGCGGGACGGGGGCTGCTCCCATCCTCGCACCGGCCTTATAAGCTCCCCGCAGCCATGCCAGGCATCTGGCTCCCGAGGCTGCTGGCACCGCCTGCCCCGCTGCCCTGTCGCCATGCTCCTCTGCTCAGGTAGCCCTGCCCGGGGGAAGCCGCCGGCGGCCAGGGCTTCCTGGGAGGCGCCGGGCGTGCAACCGCTTCACAGCACCCCCTCTCTCCGCAGGACCCGCGCGGCCCGGCCTGCTGCTGCTCTGCTGCCTGGCCACCTGCCTGTCGGCCCCTGCGGTGACCGTCCTTTGGCTGTCGCAAGAGGATTTAAATCAAATACTCCAGGACCTGCAGAGGTGCTCGGTGACACTTCTGAGTGACTACGTGAGTGTCCCGAAGTCCTCTCCCAACCGGCCCTTTCCGATGCCCCGCCGCCCAGAAGCAGCCTCTGCGCTGACCTAGGCTGCGGGGACCCAGGCAGCCGAGGCAGCAGGCCGGGGAGGTGGGAGGCGCCCGCGGAGGCAGAGGCGGGGCCGAGGTGACCGAGAGCCACCCAGGGTCTCTCGGGGTTGCAGGGTAGGCGCTCACCGGCGTCTTCACCTCCAGGCTGCAAGGCCGGGTGGCGTCTGGTCACTCAATGTCCCGGCCTGCAGCAGCCCGGCGGGTACAGGGCGGCCAGGGCGCCCTCTGGCGTCTCCTCCCGCAGCGAGGGCAGTGCGGGAGCCAGGTGTCCCGGCCAGGCCTGGCCGCGGAACGTAAGGCGCCGGCACTGCTCGGAGCTGCCCTGCAAGCTGCGCAGCTGGGGTCTCAGCAACGCGGCCTCGTCCAAGAGCCGTTCATCCTTAGGGCGAGGGAGGCGAGCGGGACCCGGAGCCCCAGCGCCAGGGCCGAAGTGGGGACAGTGCTGGTCGCAGCCTGTTGGGGCTGTGGCAGGAAGACAAGGAGGGCGTGAACCAGCCAGTGCCAGAGGAAGCATTCCAGTGCTTGCGGTTAGAACCTTAAGACGGTATTTCTGCTTGCTCTGGTTTTTTGAAGCAGGGTCTTGCTATGCAGTTCAGGCTGCCCTCAAGCTCATGGTGATCCTCCCGCCTCAGCCTCCCGAATGTGCTGGGGTTCCAGGCGTGGTGTGCCACCACAGCTGGCAAGATCTTGAGATGTAACTGCCAAGCTAATGCTCTAATTTCGCCTCCTCTTTCCACAGAAAGCAAAAGACTTGAAGCTGCCATGGGAGAAGGGTACACAGGGAAAGTACCAGCTGCCCTGTCTCACCCCTGGCCCCGAGATGTCAAACAACGCCTCGATTATCCTGGCACATTTTAAACAGATTGAAAAGTGTAAGGATGTAGCATTAAACACAACAGATGTAAACTATACCATAGCACAGCTCGAGAAACTCAAATACCGAGATAGCCCAGAACCACAGGTACCCGCCTGTACCGGTGACTTTGAACATAAGCGCTACGTCCTGGAGGTTTTACAACAGTTTTCAGACTGCATGGAGAACATTCTGGGATCCTCCAGAAAGAGACGGCATTTTGAGTCAGAACCGTGCGCCCCAAGAGAATCCTAGGGAACGTTTGGCTGGGCCAGGCCTCGGGGGAATGAGATTTAAATTTGTGAGTTGACTTTTTTTTGTTTTTTTGGGGGGGACAAGGTCCTTGCCGTGTTGTTAGGCTGGCCTCAGACTCATGGCGATCCTCCTGCCTCAGCCTCCCAAGTGCTGGGAGCTAACTTTACAGAGATTACTATGATTAGGCTTGGTATTTATACTTTTGTCAGCGGTATTAATTTATTGTTATTTATTGTACTGAGTTGTTAATGTTCCTTGAAGGAGTCTATTTAATAAATTATATTGAATTTTTCTCATAACCTGTTTTGGATTTTGTGACGGTTGGAAGTTCAGGCTGGGTGGAGTACAGCTGTGGGAGGTTAGAATATTTTGGAAACAGCTCTCTTACCATTTCTTCCCTCGGACAAATAATAATCCCAGCAGCAGCCACCATTTACTGGGCTTTTTGTTTTGTTTTTTTGACTACATAAGATGGTCTCAAACTCATGGCAATGCTCCTGCCTCAGCCTCCCAAATGCTATCACACTTCCTGAAAATAAGACCTAGCTGGAAATAATGAGCCTTGAAAACTAGAAATCGAAGTGCCACCCCTGGCTAAACTACCCTTGCCTTACCTGCCTTGCAGAGTAGCCACTGAGCAAGAGAATAGTGATGGCTGATTTTTTTCAGCTAGGTCTTATTTTCGGGGAAAGGAGGTAGGATTACAGGCACGTGCCACCATCCCCAGCTGTGCATTTTCTTTACGCCAGCTCCAGTACCCATCATTATCTTCTTTGTGCAGAAACTGGGGGAGGAAGTCATTGAGTCTCTTGCTCAAGGCTACACACCAGCTTGGGCCTCACTGCACGGCCTGACCTTTGTCCCTGTCTGGCCAGTAACCCGGAAGCAGTGAGTGCCGAGTCCAACGCAGAACAGCCGGGCAGCACCCACTGTGTGACTCTCCTAGGTTAAGCCATGAAGGCAAGTCGTGTCCTAAGCCGTCTGGGGATCATCGGATGAACGGTTCTCAGAGGAGGGTTTGTGGGCCCACAGCGGCCCTTGGCACAGGTTGGAAATTCAAATCCCAGCTGGGCTCAGGGGTGCACACTTGGGAACACTTGGGAGGCTGAGGCAGGAGGATGGCAAGTTCGAGGTCAGTCTGGACAACTTAGCAAAACTGTCTCAAAATAAAAATAAAAAGGGCTGGGGACGGGGCCGCACGGGGTAGAGTACTTGCCTGGCATGCCGCAGGCCTGGCCGCCTCCTCACTACTGCAATGAGTGAAGGAAGAAAGAGGCAGCGAATCCCTGGGCCTCGCCTGCTGACTCCTACCGCCCGAGAGTGGAGCCAACACTTCCGAGTGTTCGGACGGTTTCTGGGGGTGCTGGGGGCTGGACCGGCCCTGCTAGGCAAGGGCTCTCCCGCTAGCTGTGCGCCCAGCCAGCTGCTGTCCAGGGAGTTCCGCGAGCGTCACGCCTGCGGCCCGCGCATCTGAGGCGCCCAGCACCTCCACTTATCACCTTCAGCTGATCTTTGGGGACCCCGAGGCCCAACGAGACTGAGGCTTGGGGAAACCCTCGAGAGCGGGGGTGCTGTAGGACTCAGATCTGTAGCTGTCGCAGATTTTTGGCTCTTTGCCATTTGGGTTTTCCTGCTCTGGCCCCGCGCAAGCGGGGCTGTGACACGTCCTGCTCCTCCTGCTCCAGGACGGGCACCCGCCCAGCTGCCCCCTGCCCGGGCTGCCCCGGGGACTCGCTTCTGAAGAGCAGTGCCAGCAAAGCAACCAGGTTGGGGGCTTTCGGCAGACACCACGGTGGCCCAGCCACCCCGGCGACCGTCGCCAGCTCCCCAGGGGCCCGCTCGGATGGGACGGGGCGAGGGGCCTCACTCCCTCTGCGGTCTTCTCCCCGAACCCGCCACGAGGGTCCCGGCTCAAGAAGACACCGGCCCGACCCACAGGGCCGGCCCGGAACAAGGCTGGGGAGCTGTCACAGGCGGAGACGCAGGCGACGCGGGAAGCCAGGTCTCCTCTGGGGTAAAAGCAGACATCAGTGGGAAAACCGGTGATGGCCCAAGCAAGTCTGTGGCTGAGTCAGCACCGCTGGATGCACGATTAGAGGCGGCCAGGTGAGGGCTCGGAGGGAATTCTCTGTATTATTCACAACTTTCTGGTAAATCTAAAAGTATCATTACTGAGTCCATAGATGTCACCAGTTTCCCTGGATTATGAAACCTCTAAACATATATTTACGTATTTATTTGTCTAGTTTTTTTTTGAGACGCGTTCTTAGTATGTAGCTCATTCTGGCTTAAACTCACTATGTAGT